CCCCCAAAACCCCAAAACCCCAAAACCCCAGAGAGGTGTTAATGATTTAATATATTTATTATTAAGGTTGCGTAGATATGGAGGAAAGAAAGGTTGAATATTTTAAGATGCAGGAAGAGGTTTTAAAGGGAGACAGAGGAGGTAATGTTTGTGGTAAGGATTTTTTATAAGAGATGGGTATATCATACAGAGGGTTAACTGACAAGCCTTGTGATTATTAGTTTTGATAGATTAATGTCTGGAAAAACTCAATCAGTAATGGTTTTTTTACTGAGAAATATAAAATTGCAAAATTCACAACCCACCATATAGATTTTCCAAGGAATAACAAAAGAAGTAAAAACCAACAAAGTGAGGGTCAAAACAGTGACTCAGATAACAAAGGTGGAGGGATCAAAAAGTAATTTCTCATAAAATCTTGTATAGAGAAACATTCTTAACCAAACTAGAAGCAAATAAACTGACATCAGTTCCTCTACAAACCACAGGAATCGAAGACTACTTCAACTCCGATATCTCTTTCGACTCAGAACTATCCCACAGCAGTGGAAGTGACCACCCTGGGTTATAAAGTAAGATGTCTGAGTCATGGGGGCCTGGGAATTATGGGCTGTAGAGACTGGGCGAAGGGGAAGAGAGAAGTGGGGTGGGAAGAGAGGGGGTTTGAGGGGGGTTTGAAGGGGGTTTTGGGGGTAGGAAGTGGAGGTTTGGGTAGGATCTTTTGGGGGGTTGATTGGGTATTTTAGGTAGAAAATTTGGTAACACTTAAAATTTGAATTTGGGGTTGGATTTAATGGTTTCGAAGAAAGCTTATTTTTAGTTATTTTTGAAGAATTGTAAAAGTAGTCTGTTGATAAGTTTTAGCTCTAACATATTCTGAATATCTACATTAATAATAAATATGGCATTTCAAAAATAAAAAAATACGGATCTAAAATTTTTGAAAATCGTAGAAAAACTCGATTTCTAAATATCCAATTTTGTACATAAATCCCAATGTAAAGTTTCCATAATTTTGAATTTACCTTAGATGTGCATACCACATTTCATTTTAGCATGCCTAATTGATATTTTAGGAAGGAAATTACTTCATCAGATTGTTCTCCAGCTTCAACCAAAGTTAGCATGAACCAAGAAATTGTCCAAAAATTTGACGATGTGAGATCTAAAATAGCAAATGACAATGGAACGACTCTGATGTTCCTATTCGCCTCTCCTCTTATTCATAAGTTCGGGAACTCAAAGAAGCCAGAAGTGATGCCTCAACTGAATTTCAGGAAAGAGTTCAATGAAATAGAGTCTTGTTTGCAAGAATGCTCGCTCAAAGTGAACTACAAGAAAAAGGTTGCTACAATTGATAATCTGCCAGATATAATGATTGATAATCCCTCAGTGTTGCACTTCTCAGGACATGGAGTGAGGAATACTAAAGAAAATATTGGAAAAGACTACGTATTTACAAAGAATGAAGGTGATATGCTTGTCTTTGAAGATTCCTCCCTCAATGGAGTTCTCATCAGTGCTAAGAAGTTGAAAGGGATGCTTGACACCTTCAGAACTCAGATACAAGTCGTTGTTATCCTCTCCTGCCACTCAGAGTTTGTTGGAGAAATCTTTGCCAAAGCTGGAATTCCTCATGTTGTCTGTATCAAGCAGACTGAGAAGATTTCTGATGAAGCTTCTATTGTGTTCGCTAGAAATTTCTATAGAACTTTGTTTCAAAGAAATGTTTGCAACCCCTGCCAAGCATTTGACCTTGCTGTTGAAGCTGTGAAGCTCCAAGGGCAGACCAAAAAGCTAGGAAAAGGTGAATATCTAAAGTTTATTCATAAGAAAGATCATGATTCTAAGCAATGAAGCATTACTATAATGTTCAAAGAAGGCGAAGCTAAAATGATAAACCAGGAGCAGAAAATCGGAATTCCCCCTGCCATCGTTGAGAACTTTATCGGAAGAGAGATAGATAGCCATGAAATTATCTCAATGATTAACTCAAACAGACTAGTCTGTATAGAAGGAATTCCAGGTATTGGCAAATCAGCTATTGTCAAACAAATCTGCAATATTTTGTACGAGAGACATACTTTTAGAGATGGAGTCCTCTATAATAACCTCAGAGGGTGTACAACTCTGGAAGGTGTCATAAAGAAAGTATACAGCACGATCAAAATGTTCAGAATTGGCAGCAACCAAGGTTTTGAACATAAAGACTTTAGCCAGGTTGATATTAAAGATTTATACTTTGAGTTGATTCCACTTCTCAATAGGTTGAAAATTTTGATAGTTCTAGATAATTGTAGCGAAATAATAGCAACGGATTCATCTTCATTCACTGAATTTATCAATGTTTTTCTTGAGAGAATGCCCCATTCAAAAATAATGATATCATGAGAAAAGCTTCGAGAAAATTTGAAAGATGTTAAGAAATGAGCTTATAAAGTTAAAGAACTATCTGATAGAGATACACATGAGCTGATGAAGTTAAACGCAGATTCAAATGAAAAATTCTCGAAGGAGATGAAGGATCTTATTTCTTATGATCCTTCACTTTATGCCCAACTCAAGAAGGATAAATTTAAGCATGAAATTTTCAGATTTCTCAATGGCCACCCTCTGTCTATAAATATTCTCTGTTCACTCAGAAAGAGTATGACCCTACTCCATATTTTTCAATTCATTAAGAATTTTAAAGAGGCCAATTTCAGTGAAGAAGTTGACCCAACCACTCTATCTCTGACGCTAAATGTGTACACAAGTCTGGATTCAATTAAGAAGGAGAGCAAAGCCACATATGAAGCTCTGATACTTTTGGCTATCTCTCCTTCAGGGTTTTTAAAACAAGACCTAGAGAAAATCTACCCTAGAGAATGGTCTAGTTGTGAGCAAAGACTGCTTTCAATGTCAATGATCCAATCAAAACCCGTATATCTACGTGATTCCTTAGAAGAAGACTCATACTCGATTGACTTCACTCTTTCAAAGATGGTAAAGATGCTAGTTCATCCAGATGAACTTAGTGAGGCATACAAGCTATTTCTGAAGACACTCGTGGAGATAGTTTATGTAAGTCTCTTTGTTCATTCCAAATTTAAACACCTTCAGAGCTATTTCATTCTACTTAAGCCTTGAAATCTATAATCTATCTTTGGCCATAGAAATCGATGACAAAATCTAACGAAAGTGAGAACCTACTGTTGTTCTACGAGAACAGTATTTGGTCTGTGATGGAAAAGTATTATATTGAATCTCAGAGTATTCTCAAGAAAAATGAATCAGAATTCTTCTCTAACAAAGAATTCACAGAAGAAATCATGTCTGAAAATAGTAAGATTTCAACTCTATTTATAGAGAGTAACAAGAATCTGAAAAGACTCAGAACTTTCAGGAACAAAATAGGTAATCTCAATGGGCTCCTTCTGAGAAAGAAGCTTGGGAGTTCTGAGCTAGACTCAGCAGAAACCTCTCCTAAAAAGAAGGAAGAGACTAAATTAGAGCCCACTGAGGAACCAACTGAGAATAAAAAGGAGAAAGACTTCACATTTATCAAAGGGTTGATGAGCAACATCATTTCCAAGAAATTCTTCAAAGAAAAGACACAGATAAAATCACCCAATAACAACCAAGTAATCGAAGAAGAGAAGTCGGATAGAGAGAAAAGATCTGATACAGAAGAAGACTCAACAGAAACTCCTGCAAAAAGTAAGCAAAGGCAGCAATTAGAATCTCTTTGAGGGTTGGTATATGACCACAAAGCTAAATACCTAACTATTCCAATGTCCAGATGCACTTAAAGAATCCTATACATTTCAAATAAATACCAGTTAAAATAGCTCTAGGAGTGTGACCAGTCGTAATCCATATTCTTCTTTAAATTTGTAGTGTTTGATTATGATGTTTCTTTAAGGATTTTAAGAGAAATTGTTAATAAGAGAGGTGGGTTTTCTTCACAGAAGAATATTAGGCTCCGTTTGGCAGGTTTAGATAGTGTGAAGGATGTCATTGGCTTTAGAAATTGTGATTTGCTTGTGAGGATGCTTTTTTATGACAGTTAGATAATTTCTTGTGAAGATAAAGTCTCTAGGCATGCAAAACCTTTCATATCTCATGTCCAAGTAGAGTAAAGAACAAAGATCTACTCTTCATATTCCTCTATGTTTAAGATTCTTAGTTAAAACGCGAATCAAGTCCAGATCTTTCTTATTTTACATAAGTTAACAGAAATCTTCTCTACTGATTATGTCGATACAATGTACTAGAATACAATTTGAATTTCTTTTAAATTCTCAATAGCTTAACCTTGCACCTGCAAAACTATAATACTTCTTAGTTATACTTTGACTAGAGAATATTTTATCTGCTAGAAATTTGTTTGGATAAAATATTTTGCTTTTCATTGTCTCAAAATATCTTCTGATCCTATTTGCTATCATGATGGTCTACTCTGTAGAGTATAAATAATTTGACATATTAGCAGGGTTTTAATCAGCTTTTAATTTTATTGATCACTAACAAGAGTAATTATGCAAATTTCTTTAGCTAAAAATCCACCAGGCAAAAAGAACTTCATGGATGTTCTCACTAAATACTGCGTAAACGTTTCGAACAAGCAACCTCTAAAAGAAGGCACTGGAGGCTTAGATAGAACAGAAAAAGAGCAGCCCGGAGCAACTATGAACCAATTTCTGGCTCTTCCAGTTACCAAAGACCCTTCAAAGAGCGCCAAAGACACTCCATTGTTAAGTGAAGCAAGCAAAGAGTCATTCATAGAGACTGAAATTAAAAAGGTATCTTCCCACGGAAAGCCAGCGTTATCAAAAGGTAAGCTCTTGTCTATCTCTAGCTGCTTTTTCAAAATTCAAAATTCCAGATAAGAACTTTGAAGAATATGAGAAAATTCTGATTTTCTACACTGCAAATCTAATAATCCGGAACCAATCGTCTGAATGTTTTAAAGTAATCCAGAAGTATGGCTTGAACTGTGCTGAGGAGGCTGACCTTCAGTCCCAGTTGTACCTAACCAGGAACATAATGGATAAGAACTACTCCTCAGCTCTGTCTAGGCTGGGCCAGTCCAGCATGCACTATCTGTTCAGTGTAGCTTTGTACCGATCAAAGGATCTTGATTTTGACATTGACTTCGCACTACAAGAGATTGATGAAGCGATCAAGATCTTGAAGCAGACTAGTAGAGGTAAGCGGGGATCAAGCGAGAAGAAGCATAGGGAGGGTATTGGGATTAGGAGATAAAGAAGAGGAAATATTGGATGATGGGTGAAAAAGAGAATTTTGGGCAATAAATTTTGTGAAACGAAGTTGAAGGATTTTATCCTTACTGTTGAAGGTTTTATTTATTACTTCTATCAATGCTCATGACCCTGTTTATAGACACATCATTCCGTAATGAGTAAGTTTGACTTTAAAGCCTAGTGGCCTAGCAGTATGCTATTTATGGAGAGCCTTCCTGATTTCAGAAAGTGATCATGAGTTTTCAGAGGATGAAGAAGAATTAAGAGGTAAGTTAGATGAATAAAGAAAAATAATCATCGAGAGTAATTTTTCTCCCAATCACTACTCAGTTATGCCTATTAATTTATTCCAAAAATGAGTTACCACAAAGTAGCTCTCTTCCTAATCCCTAATCATCTAAACTCCCCTTAAATTCTCTCTCAACCATCATACAGACACTGACAAAAACCTCGATTTATTCCACTCACACATCCTCCACTCCAAACTCCTCCCCTCATCTTCCAAATTCAAACAACTCATCACCCAGATCAGACTTCCTTCCTCTTCAGAATCCTCTCTGAACCTAGACATTTTCGTTGAGTTAATTCTTAAAGTCCAAGACAGCCGCTTCGAGCCTCGAAGTAAGCTACTTCATCACCTATAGGCTTCGCTACTCTATTCCAATCCCGCCGTAGCCACCTGAGTAGCAGTACACTAAAATCTGCGTACAATAAGTCTCCTTCAGAACGGAAGGCTCTAAAACCCCAATTAGAGGTGAGCAAGGCCCAAAGGAGGCTAAGCAAAATGATTAGTAATAAGATGACAGTGGTCAGAGGTAGAACAGGGGTGAAAGAGATTAATCAGGCGAAGAGTTTGAAAGTGGGGGATCAGTGGAAAGAGAATGGCCCAGGTGAAGAAAGTAAGCAGCAGAAGGATGAGAGTGAGGGAGAGGGGATTTGGGGTGGGTTTTGGGTAGCGTTGTTTTAGAGAGGGGTGTTGAATAGTGATAATTTGGAAAATTGGAGTTTTATAATAATGTAGGTCAATCACAAAATTCGATGGATTCATCAAGCACTCCGAAAGCTTATCAAACTGTCCGTGGACTGCCGATACCTAGATCATCATACTATAATTCAAGAAAACCTTATTTTTCTCAGCAAAAGCCTCTCAACTTTACAATAGTTCCAAGAAGGAATTCAAAGACTGATAATCTAAAGACAGGTAGGCAGTCATTAAGCAGTGGATCTGGCTTCAAATATCCTAAGAAACAACAAAGACTCAAAGGTAACGTACCCTAGAATGGTTGGAAATATAGCAGCTATAAATATAAGCCAACAATAATCTATTTTCTGCTCATTTCTCTTATCCATAATTTCTCTTTCGAAATATAAACAAATCTTCTTAACGTAAATACCTTACTAATAACAATGATTAAAGCAGTAGTTAGGCCAATTAATAAAGCATACTTAACCAAAGCAAGAACTTAAGTATTTTAAAGAAAAATTCTTGCCGAACGTTAATATTCCATATAAAATCAAGATAGAAGCCCCTTTAGAAGAGATCCAAAGTAATATGTATAGAATACACCATGAAAACTTACGATCAGCACAGCAGTATAATGCCTAACCAAGTAATGCCCAGTAGCACAAAGCATAATACTCAAAACTTCCAGCCTGAAAATACCAATCCCTCACCTATGAGTGATTTCGAGAGAGGAAAGAACCAGATCTTAGCCCAAATATACCAGCTCATCAAGAATGAGAAGCTTGGGCTGAGCACCTTATCTGTAACCACTGAGGAGAAGTCTACTCAGACTAATTTATTTTAAATGAAATACCCTCTCAATATCTAAAAGATGCCTCGGGGTTTTGGGGTTTTGGGGTTTTGGGGTTTTGGGG